ACACACACACACACACACACACACACACACACACACACACGTCAGCAGGGGCCGAAGTGGTCATATGTGCCCATAATCACACCTACTCAGAGGCAGAGGCAGGAGGATCTTTTTGTTTGTTTTTGTTTTTTTGGTACTGGAAATCGAAATCACAACCTCATGTTTGCTAGGCAGGCACTGTGCCACTGAGCTACATCCCTGGCTCTTGCAGGAGGATCTTGAGTTCAAGGCCGACCTGGGAAACATAGCAAGACCCTGTCTCCAAAAAGAGAAACACCCAACTACCAGTAAGGTTGGTTTCCTCTGAGCCTCTGTCCTTGGTCTGTGGGGACTGCCCTCTCCCTGTATATCATCTCCCCTCTAACTATGTGTTTGAATCAAAAATATGCCAAGTGGGGCTGGATGTAGCTCAGTGGCATAAGCACTTGCCTGGCAAGCGCAAAGTCCTGAGTTCAATCCCCGGTACCGCAAAAAAAAAAAAGGTTGGCGGGTTTTGTTGTTGCGGGCTTTTATTGGCGGCTTGTTGGGGCTTGCTTTTTATTCTTGGCCTTTGGGGGGTTGGGGCGGGGGGTTGTTTGGGGTTTTGGGGCCGGCTTGGGTTCCAAGTTGGGTTCAGGGCAGGCTTGACTTGCGGCTTGGGCCCTTTTTTCAAAAAAAAAAAGAAAACTGCCAAGTGTTCAAATTGTTTTAAAAATTAATTACAGTGCACATTGCCATGAACGCCCCTGAAAACCCTCGCCTCACTCTGACACGCTTGTCCTGTCGTCCTGCCGCTTTCTGCAGCAGCTCTGGCGCCCTCTTTCCTGAAGTTGGGTCTTTAATTGTGCTGTGCTGGCTGCCTCGACGTCCTGAGTGAATTCAAAACGTTTCCCTTTCATGGAAGCCGGAAGTTGCACAGTGTCAAATCCAATGAATAAGGCAAATGAAGGCGCAGCATCATGTTTTGGTTTGGGGGAAGATTCTTGTTGTTTTGTTTTTGTTTGTTTGTTTGTTTGTTTGTTTTTGTCTTTTTGAGAGAGGTTCTTGCTGTGCAGTTCAGGCTGGCCTTGAGCTCACTTTGTAGCCCAGGCTGGTCTCGAACTTTCAATGATCCTCCTGCCTCAGCCTCCTGAGTGCTGAGATCACAGGCATGCACCAGCACACCTGGCTAGCTTTGTGTTTTGATTTGGTGGAAATTGCTGTAAATGTTTGACTGACACTGGATGATCATCCAATGAGGTGAATGTTTAAATCTAAAGCCATATTACAGTGAAAAATTCGTCACTGTGAACCTGTAAACCCTCAAAATCACCTCTAGCTGTGAATGCAGTTACCACATCATTCTTGCTAATGGCTTTTTTTTTTTTTTTTTTGGTCCTTTTTGAGGCAGAGTCTTGCTGTGCAGTTCAGGCTGGCCTTGAGCTCACTTTGTAGCCCAGGCTGGCCCTGAACTCGCAACGATCCTCCTGCCTCAGCCTTCTGAGTGCTTGGATGACAGGCATGCGCCACCACGCCTGGCTTTTCCTTTTTTTTTTTTTTTTTTTTAATGTGTCTTTTATTGTTAAAGATTTTTAAAATTTAAACATTCAGTGTATCTTTTCATCACCCCGCATGTGTCCAAATTTCCTCTTCCTCCAAGGACACCCGTCACTGTGCTCATGTGATGTGATTTCAACACAGTTAGCTCTTTCAGGACCCTGTCTTTAAGTACAACCACATTCTGGGGCACTAGGGGGTTAGCGCTCCAACATATGTGTGGGGGCGCAATTCAGTGTGTGACAGGAGAACTGCCGACCTCGGAGTTGGCCCGACCTGCAGGGCCCCAGTCTCTACCCAAAACGCAATGCGCGTCCCCGCGTCGGCTGAGACAGCGGGCAGCCAGAGCCGCGCGGGGCGGGGCGGGGCAGGGTGGGGCCGGCTTGCAGGCTGTCTCCGCCTGTGTCACTCTGCTGGGTGCAGGGCGCGGGGAAGCCGTTGCTGGCCCGCCGCTCTGTGTCAGCACTCAGCGCCACGTGTGCGTCTGTCACCGGCTGTCAGCGCCTGCCACGGAGCTGCGAACGGGACTGCTGCGTCCCGGAACGCGCCTGCACGGCCGCCCACCCGGCCCAGGCCGATGGCCCCTCCGCGCCCTGCCTTGGGCCCGGGTCGAGGCTGTTTCAGCCTCCCTGTGCGAAGCCCCTCTGACAGCTTTGCCTACATGTCCGCGTTCTGCCCCGCGGAAAGGGCACCTGAGGCTCCCGGCCGCCCCTGGGCGGAGGGCGTCTCAGAAAAGCGGGGTGCTGGTCGCCCCTCCTGCTCCTGGGCTGCAGCCGCTCAGCCGTCCTCTCCGTCTCCCTTGTCCCTGCACAGGTATGAAGCGGCCGCTGAGCCCGGGCCCCCCGGGTGAGAGGGGGCCCCCCGCGTGCGGAGCTGCCGAGCGCCCCCCGCAGCCCCCGGAGACCCTGAAGGCCAGGCGGGAGCGCAAGCGGCCGTCCTACACGCTGTGCGCCGTGTGCAACATCCAGCTCAACTCGGCGGCGCAGGCGCAGGTGCACTGCGGGGGGCGCGCGCACCAGCGGCGGCTGCGCCAGCTGCGCCTGGGCCCGGGGCCCTCGGAGCCAGGTCAGTGTGCGGCCCCGGCGCCGCCGAGTCCCGTGGGATCGGAGCCCCCTTGGGGAGACCCTGGCTCCGGGTCCGTCAGACAAGGCCTCCTCCCGGGGCTCCCGGGTCCTGCTCTGCACTGCGCAGGCCGGGTCTGCGGGTGCTGAGACGCCCGGGGGCCCGGGAGGCCTCTGGTCCCTCGCCCTTGACTCCTGGCCAGGATTTCTGCCCGTCCCTGGCTGAGGCACTCCGCAGAGGGACAGCTGGCTTCGAGGCAGATTTCTGGGGGAAACGGGTGACCGCGTCCATGAGGGAGATGCCGGCTGACAGGCAGAGCGGAAGCCAGTGTCGCAGGCGCCCGGTGCGGTGCCGGCAGCCCGGAGTGTCCTCACCCCCGACCAGGGCTGCAGCTCCGGGAAGGCCCCCTCGCAGCCCAGCTGGGCGCTTTGCTGAGCGCCACGCTGAACCCGGACATCTGTCTTGGAGCTGTGTGACCTCCAGGCAACTCTCTCTGTGCACTTGGTGCGTCCTCCTCCATGAGCACAGCGTGTTGGGGCCCTGGACCCAGCCGACCCAGCCCCCTGAGGCCAAGATTGAGGCTGACTTTGGGGCCCGGGCCGTGCAGAGGTGTCATGAGGGCAGGGTGACAGGGTGCTGCTTCCCGGGACAGGAGGGCAGGAGGAGGGTGCGAGCCAGGTGTGCAGGCGAGGGGAGAAGGGACTGAACCCAGATTTCATGCACCCCGCATTCAGGTGCATGTGTGTACGTGCGCATGTGTGTGCTTCCATTTGTGCGCATGGGTTGTAAAGTGACACACTGATCAAAGATGTATGGCCAAAGCTGGACACGGTGGTGCACACCTGTAATCCCAGCACTTGGAGGCTGAGGCAGGAGGATCGTTGTAAGTTTGAGACCAGCCTGGGCTACAAAGTGAGCTCAAGGCCAGCCTGAGCTGCATAGCAAGACCCTGTCTCAAAAAAAAAAAAAAAAAAAAAAAAGATATATGGTCAAGCCATAGGGTTCAGGCTGCACTTGGGGGGTTTGTGTCCGTAGGCCCCTGGGGTGTCAGTCAGGAGCGGCCACACCCAGTCTGCACGTCTGTCCTGAGACAGCACCAGGCTCCTGCACTGGGAGGACAGCGGGGAGCAGACACAAGGCTGTGCAGGGTTACGGGCCTTGCTGAAGCATTCTCGCTCCTGTTTTGTGGTACTGGGGTGGAACTCCAGCCTCGCACACTCCAGGCAGGCTCTGCCCTCAGCCGCATCCCCAGGCCTTTTTATGTTGAGACAGGGTCTTGCCCAGGCTGGGCTTAAATTTTGCAATTCTCTTGCCTCAGCCTCTGGATTATTTAATTTTTTTTTTTTTTTTTTTGGTACCAGGAATCGAACTCAGGACCTTGAGCTTGCCAGTCAGGCGCTTGTGCCGCTGAGCTAAATCCCCTGCCCTCTGCCTCTGGATTAGCTCAAATCACAGGGGTGCGCCAGGGCGCCCGGATCCCTGGAGCACTGTGGGAAGGAGAAACTAGTGTTTTCTGGTGTCCCTGGCAAAGCAGAGGGGTAACATGAGGGGTGCATGAGAAAAAAAGGAGGTGGGTGGAGGAACAGATTCGGGGCTTGGTGCATCAGAGCCACCAGGCTCGGCGCAGATGAGATGTAGGGACGGGAGGGGCATGGTGGGGTGGCGTTGCTTTGGGGCGATCACTGCCTTAGCATCTCACCAAGGGCCACGATGCCCAGCACCTAAGTGGCCTGTTCTATCCGTGCCATCAGGGGCGCCTGTCCCCCACCCCGTGCTCCCAGCCGCCCTGCTCAGGGAGGACCAGCGCTGTGGAGCTGGCGGTGCCGGCTGTGACCGGGCCCAGGCGACGGGCCCCAGATCTGCTGGAACCCTGGGCTCCTGGGGGACCAGGCCAAGCACTGCCCCACGGCGGGGCTGGGGGTCACCAGCCTCCCCGACTTTGCTTCCGGCCAGGGAGCAGCACAGCGCCCTAGCAGCTCCTTGGGGAAAATAAGGAGACCCCCCCACCCGAGGAGGCCAAGGTCATGTGTGAGGAGCCCAGCGCCCCCACCTCCCTCACCCTCAGCCTTGGGGTGGCAGCGGGAAGGACTCTGCCCAGGAGCTGTCACTCTGATTAGGGGCCTGGGGAGCGCAGGCGGCCGCAGTGACAGGCCTCACGGGCTCTGGGGGGCGTCTCTCAGCCCTTCCCGGGCTGCAGAGCCTGGGAGAGAGTGGTGGAGGAGGGGCGGAGAGGAGACAGAGACAGACAGACAGGCAGATAGACAGAGAGACAGACACTGGCTTCTCAGCCATCCCAGCTCCTGGAGGTCTTCCGGGAACATTCTGCAGACCTTGCTCTTCCCATCCCACCTGTCCCCGGCGACCCTACTGACCAACACGCGAACACACGTGGCACACGCGTGCATGCACACACGCACGCACACGCACATGCTGGGACGAGGCCGCTTGGGTCTTCCACATCTGCAGAGATCACAGTGCCGGCCCGAGCTTCCTCACTTTAGCGTTTGACGCAGACCCTGGGCCACACGGGGAAGCTGTGACCCGCCTGCCCCAGCCAGCTGCTCGGGAGCCAGTCTGTCCTCAGAGCAGGGCGGGCAGCCCAGGGCCGGTGATGCCATCTGTCCTCACCCTGATCCCTGGACACTGGGAGCTCAGAGCGCGTAAGCCCCTACCCAAGGCCACACAGCTGCGCTGGGGGCCTGGGCGTCCACCCTAAATCCTATCTCACCCCCCTCCCTGGTGAAGGGAGCAGCAGATATGCGCTCCTGCGATCGATCCCAGCAGTCAGGAGGCTGAGGCAGGAGGATCGCCAGGAGTTCAAGGCCAGCCTGCACTACACAGTGAGATCCTGTCTCAAAAAACAAAGAAACAGTCAACCCCGACAGCAGGGGAAGGAAGAAACGGGCTCAGCCCTGGCTACTGAACTGCCCCATGAAGGGCACACACGGGGTGCAGGACAGCCCGAGTCAGCGTCCACTGCCTGAGCTCCTGCTCGCGGGAGCCTCATCTCGTCCTGGAAGCCTCTGCCCGCCCTGACGGAGAGCCAAGCCCACACGCTCAAGCCACACCCACGTCACCCAGGCACTACCACTTCCCACATCTCAGTCCCAACAGGGCCCCAGGAAGCCCTGGAGCCCGAGCCACCTCGGCCACCTCCCTGGGGGCTGCTTTCCCTCGGTGAACCCTGCTTGGGCTTGGGTTTCTTTCCTCTCCTTCCGCCCAGAGCCCTTCTGAGCCTCACAATCCAGTGTCAGGGCTGCCGAGCCCTCCCGGGCGTCGGGCATGGAGATTACAGCCATTGTCTGGGCTGCAGTCTGGAATGCGGGCGGGATCCTCGGTGGCTGGCGTCTCCTGCCCGCCCACCCACCAGGTGCACAGGTGTGTGGGTGAGCGGCTGGCAGCTTCCAGCAGGGAGGAGGATGGGTGTCCTCTCGGGGTTCCAGCTGAGCGGCTGGACCCCCTCTTCCAAGCAGCAGGTCCAGGCGCCCGAGCTGGACTCCCCCTGCCTCCCCAGAGCAAATGACAAAATGAGACTCTGAGCCTCAGTTTACCCCGCAGCAAAAGCAGAGCCACGTAAAGGGATGGGCAGGGGCGACTGAGGAAGGCCGGACAGACAGACAGACAGCAGTGAGGCCCTCCAGCGGGCGGAGAAAGGACCTGCAGCTCCTCTGACCCCAGCATCTCGGTGGGCCAAACCATCGGGCCTTCAGTCGAGGAGGCGGAGCCCTCCCCTCCCTCCCACCCCGTGTCCTTGTGGCCCCCACTTCCGCCCCCGGGAAATACATGCCTGGCTCGGTGCCCACTGAGGGCTGGCAGCTCTGCCTCGCCGGAGGGGACAGGCCAGGCCGGAGTGCCTCCCTCGCTCGCCTCTCCTGTCCCTCTGCCCCCTCCCTCTGTCACTGCCTGAGTTGCGGTTGCTCTGCGCTCCTGGCTCCCTGGCTGCAAAAGGCCGAGCATGCTCCTGGGTGAGTGCGTCCCCGGAGCTGGGGAGGGGCAGGCCAGGGCGCCGAGGGGGGCTGTCCTTTTCCTGCAACTGTGGCCTTGGTTACCTCTGCCCAGGTCCAGGGCTGGACTGGGTACACCCCACGAACAAAGGTGGGGGGCGGGAGTGGCTAGGGAGCCCCAGGTGCCCCTGCAGGGCTCCGGGGCTGCACAGCTGGGGCCATGGGGGGGGCCCCAGGGCTGAGCCAAAGGTTCCAAGTAGCAGATCCCATCTTCGATGCCCCTGAGGGGCCGGGCGGGCGGAGGCCGGGTGCGCGGACTCGGGAGGAGCAGATGGGCACAGGCGTGGGTTGGGTGCCCCCACCTGCGGTCTCCCCGCTCGCCTCCCACTCAGGGGCCCTCCAGGGAGCAAGTGCTCAGAGCCAGTGATGGGGCTTTGGGGCTCCCTGCAGTTTGCTGGGGAGCTGGAGAGTAACGCATGGGGGTGCAGACCACCCGCCGGCGGCGGAGCGTGCGGGAGCCCCTGGCCGGGGTGGGGCTCCTAGCCCTACCAGCGAAGAGGCAAGCGGTGGATCTTGGCCCAGTCTGCGCTCGGATCCCCGTTTTGGGCTCCTTCTTTTCGCTGCCGCAGACCTCTGGTTTTATCTGCGATAGAAACGCAGTGCTTGGCTTGATGTGTACATGTGTGCACACACGTGCCCTGGGGGAGCCGCCGGAAGGTCCATCCCGGGGCTGGGGCGGGGCGGGGGCTGCAGTCGGGGCCGTGGCTGTGCGACTTCATAAAGCCGGTGTGTCGGGGGCGCGGCTCTCCAGGTGTCTGTGGATTCTCCGCCTATTGCTTCATGCTGTCTGTCTGTCTGTCTGTCTCTCTAGATCTTTGTGCACACACGCGTGCTCACCTGTGGCCCAGTGGGGGTGTGTGTCAACGCACATGTGCGCACACCAGTGTGTACAGGCAGAAGACGCTGCCCCCAGTGCATGCGTGTGTCCCGTGTCTTCCTGTCCCCTTTGCGTGGGTCCCTGTGTGTGTGTGTGTGTGTATTACTGCCCAATAGCAGGGG